CTGTCACATGGGATTTGAATTCTGGGCTTGGGTGCTGTCCTTGTGTTCTTCAGCTCAAGGCGAGCACTCTACCGCCTGAGCCACAGTACCACTTCTGGTTTTCTAGTGGTTTATTGGAGATTAGATTCTCACCGACTTTCCTGCCCAGGCTGGCTTTGAACTGCGATCCTCAGATCTTAGCCTCCTGAGTAGCTAGGATTACAGGCGTGAGCCACTGGTGCCCAGCTGTTGTGTACTTTTTAATGTTTGTTGGAAGTGTGCTAAATGTTGACATCTTAAGATGTATTTCCTTCATTGTCCAAGATCTGATGACATTGACAAATAAGACAAGTAAATAAAATCAGTGTTGGTGGTTAATCCTAGCTATTCAGGAGGCTGAGATATGAGACTTGTATCTCCAGTTCACTAGTAAAAAGCCAGAAGTGGAGGTATGGCACAGTGATAGAGCACCAGCCTTGAAGGAAAAAGCCAAGCAAGAGCTCTGAATTGAAGCACCAGTACTGGTACATGTGTATGCATGCACATGACATAGTGATAGATGAAAGAAATAAGAACTTTTTTTGGTTTTGTTTTTGTTGGTCATGGAACTTGAACTTGGGGCCTTGGGTATTGTCACTGAATTCTTTTTGCTCAATGCTTGTGCTCTACTACTTTGAACCACAGTGCCACTTCCAGTTTTCTGCTGGTTAGTTGGAGATAAGAGTTTCACAGACTCTTTGAATCATGGCTTTGAACCATGATCCTCAGATCTCAGCTTCTTGAGTAGCTAGGATTATAGGCACAAGCCACCAACACCTGGCTGAAATAAGAACTTTATTACCTAGAAACCCTTAAGATAGGGAATATTACTATCAGATCTAAATGGGTTTGTTAACTTGACTCTAGTTTGTCTAGCTGACTTAAGCAATAGCTAAGAGAGCCCAACAGGGTGGTTCCAATTATGGAAGTTAAGGCTATTTATTTCTAAGGGGAAGAAGTATATAGATGAACCAAACATGTCTCCTTATTAAATACAAACTAAACTGTGAAAGAGTTAGGAATTAGCTTAATTCAGCTTCCTCTGGAACAAACTGTTTCTTCTACAATTTTGTCTGTCTCATGTCCCCTCCCCCACTCTAGTCTTGGGGTTTGAACTCAGGGTCTGGGCACTCTTCTGAGTTTCTTTTGCTCAAGGCTTGTGCTATACCACTTGAGCCACAGCGCTTTTTTTTTTTTTTTTTTTTTTAAGTGATAGAGGAATTGAGCCCAGGGTTTCATGCCTGCCAGGCAAGTACTCTTCCACTAAGCCACATTCCTAGCCTTTGTGTTTTTTTACATTAACTAGGTAACTGATTTCTTTTTATGGAAAGTGAAGACTTAGCTCACTTTGCTGTCTCTTATCTTGTTACCTTATGACATAATGGTAATTCTTGTTAAAGAATATCCTATATTCACAGTTGACAGTTATGTATCTAGCTTTTCTCTTTACCATCTAGTTTTCATTGGAATTAATAAATGTTTCTTTTCCCAACACTAATGCAGTCAAAATATTCTCCTAGTTGCATTTGTGTATCTCCATGTTGATACTTAATCAAATTTAACTCTTTTTTTTTGGTCAGTCCTTGTGCTTGAACTAAGGGCCTGAGCACTGTCCCTGAGCTGCTTTTGCTCAAGGCTAGCACTCTACTGCTTCAGCCAGAGTGCCACTTCTGGTTGTGGTGCTGAGGAATCGAACCCAGGGCCTCATGCATGCAAGGCAAGCGCTCTACCACTGACCCACCTTCCCAGCCCCCAAATTTAACTTCTTAAAACAAGTCTGCCTGAGATGTCCTTAAGGTTCTATTTTGGACTTCTTGTATATAGTACTGTTGAATTAGTAGTTATTGTAGTATCTCCAGCTTTATCTTTTAGGTGTTTTCTTCATTGTGATACTGGGTTATAATCTCCTATTACCAAGATACCATGTCTTTCTTGTGATGTATTCTCAAGTTTTTTTTTTTTTTTAATTTTAAACTACAGATTCTAACTATATACCTTGATAAAATGTACATGGAAAATAAATCTTTTGAGAGCTTACATATATGATATATCTCTAATTATACCCTCATACTTAATTTATATCCTTGCATATGGAATCTTAGATTAGACACAAATTTCTTTCAGAATATGATGGTGAGGTTCAGTTGCTTGCTTTTAGTGTTGTTATTGAAGTTTGATGCTGGGCTGGGAGTGTGGCTTAGTGGTAGAGTGCTTGCCTTGCATCCATGAAGCCCTGTGTTCAGTTCTTCACTGCCACATAAACAGAAAAAGCCAGAAGTAGTGCTGTGGCTCAAGTGGTAGAGTGCTAGTCTTGAGCAAAAGCAGCTCAGAGACAGTGCACAGGTCCTGAGTTCAAGCCCCAGGACTGCCAAAAAAAAAAAAAAGAAAAAAAAAGAAAAAAAAGAAAAGCAGTTTGATTTGTATGAGAAGGTTTTTTTCTTCCTAGATGTCTGTAGAATCTTTTTTAAAGCTAGAAATCTTAAATCTTATGATATTTGCATGGCCATAGGTTTATTTTCATCATTTTTGCTAGACTTACAGATGAAGACCTTTTAAGTTTGTAAGATCATTACCTTTTACCCTGGAAAATTTAATAGATTAAAAAAATTTCTTCATTTTCACTATAAGCTTTTGCATTTTTTACAATGTATCTCTGTTATTAGCTCTGTATAGTATATTCTCAGTGAATACTCAATTTTTGGCCATTATGTAATAAGGGCAAAATCAGGATGTACAATAATGGGGAGGTGAATTGAAGTTTAAATTAGTACTGAAAGTAGAATTTTTAAGATTCCTGGACTTATTATCCTCATATGAGCCTTTTAAAGTTTTGTAGTGTACTTGATTTTCTGTTTTTCCTGTGTTGGCACTGGGTTTAGTGTATAACTAGGATTATAGGTGTGAGGCACTAGCACCTAGCCTATTTACTTTTTATTACTTTTTATTTCTTTTGCTACACAGCTACCTGTATAGCAAACCTTTTGTGGTAAGTGAAAGAAAGGCTAAAGTTTAGGATATTGTGAAAATGAATATGTATTTATTTTTTCTTTACCACTCTTTTGAAACTCTGAATTCTACCCAATTTAGAATATCAGAATTAACTACAATATAGTGTTATATGAGGTTACAACTACGTTTTCCTATATGTGTCCATTTTCAAAGAGGCCTCTTGGACTAGGATTATAGCTTAATGGTAGAGGGCATGCCCAGCATACATAAAGCCTTCAGTTCTGTCTCTAGCACTGAAAAAAAAAATCTTAAAAAAGCCGTCTCATGTATAATCACAGTCAGAACTTCTATTCATTCAGCAAATATTTATTATCAAGTATATGAAAGATTGGTCATCAGAGATACATTATTTAACAAAACAGGCAAACTTCTGTGTTCATGGCATTCACATTTCTAAAGGAATATACAATTGTAGTATAGCCTAGGATAAAATAATTGGGTGAATATCACTTTCCTTGGAAAAATAACTTACATATTTTTCATGTAATCACTTCACTTGAAATAGAAATTACAAGGTTATTATTATTATTATAAAATGGCTTAAAAATGAGAAGATTGGGGTTAGACACAATTGACACATGCTTATAATCTCATCTGCTGGGTGGTGGAGATCCAGAGGATTGTGGTTCAAGGGTAGTTAAGGCAAAAATTTAGTGAGACCTTATCTCAACCAATAAGCTAGACAAGGTGACATATGACAGTCATCCTACTGTCCAAGCCAGCCTTAGACATATGAGACAACCAGTCTCATATGTTTATGAGACTGTATTCAAAAAAATAAAATGAGAAGGGCTGAAGGTGTGGCTCAAAAGTGATAGAACATGTCATTTCTGAGTCCAAATCTAGTGCCATTAAAAGAGAAGCTTGATAGAAGATCAGTGAGCAGAAGGGGAAACTACTTGCTAATCAAAATGGTAATTGTTAGCACCAAATATACAAGTCCCTTTTTCTCATATGTGCATATGTATTAAAATATACATTTCTTTAGAAAATTGGATTCTACTTTAAAACTTCCATATAATTATGCTGGTTCTGGGCTTGAACTCAGGGCTTGTGTATTGTCCCTGAGCTTTTTTTTTAATTGGTCATGGGGCTTGAACTCTGGGCCTGGGAGCTGTCTTTCAGCGTTTCAGCTCAAGGCAAATGCTCTACCACTTGAGCCACAGCGCCACTTCCAGTTTTCTGGTGGTTTATTGGAGATAAGAGTCTCACGGACTTTCCTGCCCAGGCTGGCTTTGAACCGTGATCCTCAGATCTCAGCCTCCTGAGAAACTAAGATTATATTGTTGTGTTAATAGCACCCAGCTATATTTTCATTAATGTTTAATGTTTTTATTAATATTTCATTTGTCAGATGATTGTACTTTTTTTTTTTTTTTTGTCGGTCGTGGGGCTTGAACTCTGGGCCTTGGCCCTGTCCCTCAGCTCTTCAGCTCAAGGCAAGAGCGCTACCACTTGAGCCACTTCCAGTTTTGTGAGTGGTTTATTGTCAGTGAGACAATAAACCTGTCCGGGCTGGCTGGCTTTGAACCAAGATCCTCAGATCTCAGCCTTCTGAGTAGCAAGGATTACAGGCATGAGCCACCAGTGCCTGGCAGATGATTATACTTTCAATGGATGTATAATATAAAGTTTTATGAATGTCCCATAATTTAAATTTATGTATTGTTTTCTCCTCTTATTTTCTTCCCCAACTGTTAATACTCAGGGAAATAAAGATATATTTGAATTGGTACTGAATCTATGTACTTTAATAGACATAGACAAAGGTGATGAAGCAGGGGAGTAGGTTAGAATGTGGGAAGAATTTTTCAATACTGTTTATATTATACATTGCTTATATTCTATCTTATTTTTAAATATTTATAAATGTTTAACTCTGGCATGTTTATTTTCAAATACACAAAAATCTCATTAGCATTATGTTACCTTTGCTATTCTCTGAACTTTCAGCGAATTCTCTTTGTTTACAGCTGGGCTCAAAATGCAGAGAGCTCAAAGATATTCATTTTGGCCAGTGTTACAAGATCTCAGATGAAGGCATGATTGTCATAGCTAAAGGCTGCCTGAAACTACAAAGGATATACATGCAGGAAAACAAATTAGTAAGTATCCTTTTACATGTACATGCTGTTTGTTTTGTTTCAAACCTCCAAATTACTTAAACTTGGTAAATTTTCTTCTGTATTTTTATTACTTGAGAGACAAATAATATTTAACAAAAAGCAAAAATCTTCTCAAACTATTATTTTCAAAATTGGATATAATTAACTAGAAACTTACCTGTGGTACTTGCTTCATAAACATTCCTTATTAGCATGTATTACTGTGTCTTCTATAATTTCTGACAGTGAACCAACTCAAGTAAATTGGAAAATAAAAAATTTGTTTACCAAACATGTCTGTTGTTGTTGAAATAATGATAATTCTAGGGAATTAAAAATGTTAATACCCAGAAAAATGTATTCTTGTGAAAATAGTAATTTTTTTTTTTTTTTGGATCCGGTCATGGGGCCTGAACTCTGGGCTTGAGCACTGTCCCTAAGCTCTTCAGCTCAAGGCTAGTGCTCTACCACTTGAGCCACAGCGCCACTTCCGGCTTTTTTCTTTTTGCTTATGTGGTGCTGAGGAATCGAACCCAGGGCCTCGAGCATGCAAGGCAAGCGCTCTACCACTGAGCCACCTTCCCAGCCCGAAAATAGTAATTTTGATAATTGATAATTATATACATCTTGTAAGCATATCCACATGTAACTCAGACACATTAAATGTATTTAATATATTTAAAACTAGTCATTTTACATGGATTGGGAGGTAATTCAAAAGTAGATGATTCATTGGGTTTTATAGTCATCACCAATTTCTACTTTTTAAATTCTAGAACATTTTTATTAACTCTCTTGCCCAGTAAACAATCCCTCCCTGTTTCCCTTCTTGCCTTACTCTAGCACCTGGCAATTGTTAATCTACTTTTTATGATTTTTCCTATCTTAGATATTTTATATAAGTAGGATCATACAATATGTGATCTTTTATGCCTGCTATTTTCTATGATATTTTCAAGGATTCAGCCATGTTATAGTCTATATTAATGCCTAGTTCCTTTTTGTGACTGAATAATATTAACATTAATAATAATTAATAATATCCTATTTTGTGATAGGTATATCATACAGATTAACCAAAATATGCTACTGGGAAGGCATTGGTAGTTCCCAGTATTGAAAAAATAATATAAAGTATTTTATTAGTCATAAATAGATTGCATTTTTATAAAGAATACTTGTTATTAGATTGTATCCTCAAAGTACATGTAGATATTCTTGTTGCCCTTCCTAGTTTATAAAATTTGATAAATATATATAAATGAGTTTTGAAAGATTTTTTTAAAAGTATGAGCACTTTTCATGAGACAGTATTATTTAATGAAGATTTTAAGAGCTAAGGACATGGCTTAAATGAGAGAGCGCCTGCCTAACATTCTCAAAGCCTTCAGTTCAAATTCTATTACTGCGAAAACAAAAGATTTTAGAAAGATTAAAGCACTATAAATTAAAAATACTTGATAGCCCTCTTTACATTTAATATGAATATAATTACTTAAAGTATATGATCTTGTAAAGAGAATTTGTGGATCAGAGAGACTAAATTTTAATCTCTGCTATCTCTGCTTTTGTGTTGTCACTTGAGAGATACCTTAAGGTCTGTAAACCTTATTTGGTAATAGTGTTGTTGATATTTGTCTTTGTGTGTGTGTGTGTGTGTGTGTGTGTGTTTGTAGTTTTGAGGAGTAAATGACATAATATCTTCAAATTGCTAATACAATTGAGAAAGAAATTAAACTAGTAGCTTTTTGTAGGGTAACACAGCTATATTTGTTGTTGGTTTTGACTTAATATTCAATATAAACTCAAAATTAGTAGTCATAACTTAAGAATTATTTTCTTAATAAGAATGGTATTTGTAGATTTTGATCAATATTTGTTTGTTTCTGTGTAAATGCAAAAATTTGTTTTTATTGACATAGTAAAAAATTTCAGCTAGTAGTTTCCCAATAGAAACAACTGCTTATTTTCAAAAGTTCTTCATTTTCACATTACTTTTTCCATAATATTGTCATAAGCTGGGTGCTGGTGGCTCATGCCTGTAATCCTTGTTACTCAATAGGCTCAGATCTGAGGATTGCTGTTGGAAGCCAGTTTGGGCAGAAAAGTCTATGAGACTCTCCAATAAATTGCTTAGAAAAAGCTGCAAGTGGTTTTGTGGTTTAAGTGGTAGAGTGCTAGCCTTGAGCACCAAAAGGCTCAGGGACTGTGCCCAGGTCTTTAGTTCAAGTCCCAGGACTTGCCCACCCCCCCCCCCAAAAAAAAAAAAAAAGTAAAAGCTGTCATAGAGCTGGTTGCCAGTGACTCTGATGCCTGTAATGCTTCCTACTCAGGAGGCTGAGATCTGAGGCTCATGCATAATTCAAAGCCAGGTGGTACAGGAAAGTTGGTGATACTTTTTTCTCCACTTAACTACCAAAATGTTGGAAGTGGAACCTGTAGCTCAGTAACAGAGTGCTAGCCTTGAGCAAAAAAGCTCAGAGACAGTGCCCAAACCCCAAGTTCAAGCCTCAGGACTGGCACAAAAAATAAAATAAAAAAAAAAAAGGAAAGAAAAGTTGTCATACACTTAACATATACCTAACTCTAAGGAAATCTGTTCAGGATTTGTTTTTAATCCTTAAATATTTTTATTTTATTGGCAATTCAAAGTAATTTGGCTAAATCTTGAATCTTTCAGCAATGTGTCCTTTCCACTTAAGGTTCAAGTACATTTACAACAAATTAAATTCTATTGGATAATTGGGTTGTTGAATTACCTACCCATTGGAACTTCTCTTTAGCTTAAAAATTCATGAAATAAATAGAAATATTTAAATTCCTGAGAAAGCTGACAATGTAAATAATTTGGCTTTTGTTATTTTTGACAAGTATTACTGGTTATTTAACAATAGATACTTTATATTAATTATTGATAGAGGTATTCTGAGAATAGTCAGAAAGGATACTAGTAAAATTTCACCTGTACATTGACAGATATTTGTAATTAGACAAGTGATTTACACTATTAATTAGCTGAATTTTATCAAAAGGAGTATTAGAGCTTTATTATGTAGTCAAAAAGAAATTATAGCATAGTAGTTTTTAGATGATAAGCTTTATTGATTCAAAGTAGCAAGTAAATTAGTTTTCTTAGATATTGGCAGTGTTTGAGTAGACATCCTTTTGTATTTTATGTTGGCCTTTAGATGGCAGCATTGTCTTTGTATATTCCAGTGGCATAGCTTTATGTGTCTTTGATGTAACTTTGAAGATGCAGAGCTCACCTACTTTCTGGTGATGTTTTACCTCATTAAAATTTTTTTTTCCTTAGGTATTAATGGGAAAATTTCTTTTCCAAGTCATATAGCTGCAGGTAGACTGCTCCAAGGTGAACTTTATTGTATATGATATACCAAGATGATTGAATGTTCTTTCTTGTGACCCTTTAAGTAGAATAAAGGTTAGAGTAAGGAAAGGATTCCTGTGTCATTAGAAAGATGTTTATATGTGGAAAATAAGGACAGTGATATCACAGGTGCATTATGGTGAAACAAAGATTTGAGATCTTACAAGTAGAATCTTCTAAGAAAATTTTGTTTCAGTCATTTTTGATAAGACAAGCACTCCATGGTTCTAGTTGTCTAGTTGTGTATATCCTAGAAATAGATTTGAGGAATTTAAATATAGTGTGAGTCTGTTATATAGCACGCACATGCCTCTCTTATTATGATTGCTTTTTTTTTTTTTTTTTTGGTCGGTTGTGGGGCCTGAACTCTGGGCCTGGGCCCTGTCCCTTAGCTCTTCAGCTCAAGGCTAGCGCTCTGCCACTTGAGCCACAGCACCCACTTCCAACTTTTTCTGTTTATGTGGTACTGAGGAATTGAACCCGGGGCCTCATGCCTGTGAGGCGAGCACTCTACCACTGAGTCACCTTCCCAGCCTTATGATTGCTTTTGTGTCACCAAGATTTTTTTTCCCAGTCCTGGGCTTGAACTCAGGGCCTGAGCACTGTCTCTGAGCCTCTTTTGCTCAACGCTAACACTCTACCAATTGAGCTACACAGTGCCGCTTCTGGCCTTTTCTGTGGTACTGAGGACTAGAACTCTGAGGAGAGTTGTATTGCTATGCTATTCCATTGGGAAGATGAGGGAAATAGACATGGTGGGCGGGTGGGCAGCAGGCATGGAAAGCAAATAGGAGGTCAAATTGGTTTTTATAATACAGCTCTCCATATTTTTTCATTAATGAGGTCAGAGCTTCTAATGTATGAGTCCCAAAGTGTTTTGGGATTCACATTCAAATCACAGCAGTTGTATAGCTATTGACAATCTGGAACTAATCTAATTATTATTATTATTTTTTGCCAGTTCTGGGACTTGAACTCAGAGCCTGGGCACTGTCCCTGAGCTGCTTTTACTCAAGGCTAGCACTCTACCACTTGAGTCATAGCACCACTTCTGGCTTTTTCTGTTTATGTAGTCCTGAGGAATGGAACACAGGGCTTCATGTGTGCTAGGCAAGCACTAGCCAAGCACCTTCCCAGCCCATAATCTAAATGTTTTCTCTGTTTTATTTCTCTGTTTCCTGCACCAGGTATTTTACTATTCTTTTTAATTAATAAAGTTTTATTTTGTGCTGCACCTGGGGTTGACACTTGTACTGGGGTTGCCTTGACACTGCACTCTTACTCAGCTTTTTTGCTCATGACTGGAACTCTGCCATTTGAACCACACCTCCATAGAGGGTTTACAGTTACATAAGTTAGAAAAACACATCTTTTTGGACAATGTCACCCCTTTTCCTTGCTTTCTCCCAGTTTTTCCCTCTGGACCCCACCTACAAATTGTATATGAACTTACATTTTTTTTTTTTTGTTTTGTTCTTTTTTTCATTTTGGGTCTGGTCGTGGGCCTGAACTCTGAGCCTGGGCGCTGTCCCTCAGCTCTTCAGCTCAAGCTTAGCACTCTACCACTTGAGCCACAGCGCCACTTCCGGCTTTTTTTTTTTTTTTGCTTATG